CCCTGAGATGAGTCTAAAACAACCTGATTGAGTGGGAAGATACAATCCTTAGTTGGACTTTTCCCAGGGCCTCTTTCCTTCTTGGGTGGTCTTTGAAAAAGGCACTAAGTGACCACAGTCTGAACTCCTGCTGCTGGGGCTCCACAGGGGGGCAGCTTTCACTCCCGGGAGGCCCATGTTCTAGATACCTTCTCTGCTAGTCTAGCTCAGAAAAGCCTGCTAAAAGACGCCGAGCAGGCGGTGTGTACAGATATTCCATTGCTTTTCAACCATTTCGTCTAGAGCTATGGGCTTGGTTAACGTACAATGGCTTCTAAATTGTCATCAAAATGGTTCCACCAAAAGCTTTGCCAAGGGATAACAAGGGTCACCCATTTTCCACCCCACAACAGGTGGACCGTCCCTGTATGCACCAAAACTATAGAACATTTTAGGGTACTTTTACTTTAGAGTTTTTCTTGGGCTGGCATCCTGTTGCCAGTACTAATTTCTATTTATTTATCCTTAGGGAAGGGTGCCATAATAAAGACATTCAATAATGAGTCAGTGGCTGAGCTGACAGCGTATGCTGCCATGTAGAATAGTCACGGTGATCATTGCAGAATGACAGGCTGTTTGGATCCACAAGGTCACATGGGGTTCTTCCATCTTGTCTCTCTGTCATCTCCAACGTTATTGGTTTGACCACCCCTGGATTGGCAGCACAGATAGTTCCCACGTGTGGAAAGGTAAAAGCATGAGGGAAGAGGGTGTACCCACAGTCCTAAGGCCACACAGGAAGTCTGTGATATGTAGACTGGCTATGTGTCCCGGGGAAGGGGGCTATCACTGCTGGTAAATAAGTAGCAGTCTGCACCAAGGGCCTGGAGCTGAACAGGCAGTCAAGTCATTATAAGTCAATATGCCTTGGGGACAGACAGGCACGGGAGCCCCTCACCCCATGTGAACACACAAGTCACCCCGAAATGCCATTCCCCCCAGAAGCTCAGGGCCAGTGGACCACACAATATTATTAATCTGGTAAATTTTGCCATCTCCCTAGTGTCACCCCTAAAATGATGCCCACTGTCCTCCCCTGTGGGTGGGTGAGGGGCAAAGGACAGGCTTGCAAGCACTAGAAACCTGCTGGGAGTTGGAGGGGTGGTAGTACAGGTTCTCCAAGAAACAGATTCCAAGAAGGGTTTGGATATGCCCCGATTTCCTGAGGAGATGCCTGTATGGCGTGAGGTAGGGCAAGAGCAAGGCAAGGCTGGAGTGACAGAGAGAGGGAGAGAATGCATCCCATGGACTGCACTGCAGGCCTCGAAAGCTACAGCAGAGCCACTAGGAAACCCTGGGGCCAAGCCTACCAATCAGGAAATCATCATGTTTCCCAGGAATGGCTCTGCCACAGACCCCAGCCTGGATCCCAAGGACAGCAGCCCATAGCAGCAGCCTAAGAAGGTGATGGTTTTCAATGCCAGGGTAGTTCCTGGTTAGTTACACTTCCGGTAGCAGGAGACCTGCAGGGCCTGTTCTCATGGCTGCCGCTGGGGCTAACAGTAAGGAACTGGAAAGGCCAGAGACTTTGGAATTAAATATTTATACTGGGTTTCAGCCCAACTCAGCACTGACGAGCTGTGTGTCATTGGTTAAGAAACTTCATCCCTCTGATCCTTAGTTTTCTCATCTGGAAAACATTACCAGGATGAAAATGGAGTTCCTACAGAAAGTGGCCACCAAATGACAGCATTTATGCGTCCTTCATTCTTCCAGAGCCCAAATCTACCCCCAATATGCTTCCCAGGGGAGGACTCCAAAGTTCACAGCTGATCCCAATTCTACGGGGATCACAGACAGCCCTTCCCTGTGACCCCCATACCGTGTGGGTCCAGAACTGGCATGCAGTGGGCTGCAAAGGCCAAGCTCACTTTTAAATCAGTCCAAGAACTACCCTGATAAAATCGCTCCCAGGGCCACAGAGAAATACTTCGGAGAAGCTGCCAGGAAGGGCAGAGACAGCCACTTGTTAGCCTCCTGCCTCGTCTGGGCTCCAGCCTGTTTGGAAACTCATCATCCAGGCGAGGATCCTGGGCCAGGGCCCAGGAGGGGAAGGGAAGGAAGCAGGCAGCTCCTTGGATGGGGATGTAACTGCAGACGGCTGGGCAGGCTTCCACCCACCCAGACACACGCCTGCCCGCGCACCGGGCTCCTACTTTCCCTCGGGCCCCTGCCCCCTTCTTTCAGCTCTCGTCTCCCTTTCTTATTTCCGAAGCTCACTCACCCTTCCTACCTCACTCCTCCATCCCTCCCTCACCTGTCTCTCTCCCAGGGTGACCCTTATTCCTCTCTGTCTCCGGACAGCATCTCCATCTCTTTCCATTACCTTCTCTTCATGTCTGAGTTTCCCTCTCTGCCTAAACGGCGTCCTTCCTCCCCAGCTCTCCGGCTCTCTTCCTGCTCACCCGGCCCTCTCGGTCGCTGCTTCTGTCTGATGTCTTCCTACATCAGCCCGCAGACCTGCCAGCTAGGGTCAAACTAAGAAGCTGGACGAGAGGACATCACTCTTACACCGGAGAGCGAGGCCTTCGCTGAATTCAAAGTGCAGTAGCTCTTCAATAGACTTTTATAAAAACCGTGATGATCAGTGCATACCGATATTAAACAAAAATCCAGTCAAGTTTAAAAGCAGGTTGAAAAATAGCACACGTGGAGTATAAACCCACTTTGTACTCTGCCATACAGAAAGATAAACGTGAGGCATTCGGAGGTAAATGGATGTCCCTTGAGAACATAGTATTAAGTGAAATAAAGCAGACACACAAGTCTAAATGTTGCATGGTTTCTCTTAAATGAGAACCCACCCCCAAATATATATATATATAGTATATATATATACTATATATATATATATATAACAGATAAAAAGTAGGGAGATCTTTTTCAAGTGAGATGGAGGACAGGAGAAGGGGAGAAGGGGTAGGGAGTGGAGAGAAAGGAGATGAAAGAAACTGAAGGAAAAAGAAGGAAATAGAGCCCCTGCAAATGGGAAGGACACGAAAGCTGGGAAGAGCAGGGAGGGCTGAGAGCGGCAAAGATGAAGAAAGAGTACAGACGTATGACGCCCACGTACCCACTCCCCACGACAAATGCACTCAGGTACTGCAAACACGTGCTAATAAATATCAGAAAGAAAACAATTACACATATGTGCATAACCTTCTGAATGTCCACCTGCTTATCTCTGAGTGGTGAGTGTGCGAACGACTTCTTTGGCATTATAGTAAATATTTCTTGGGTAAGAAAAGTTACAGTGGTGTAAAAACAAACCGAGAGGTAGGCAGTATGGCCACTGAGCTCCCTCCCTGCCCTTTAATTCACTTTAGCACAACGTTTCAGAAGTATCGGCTGGGCAGGGAGTCAGAGGGTTGGGACAGGGTCCCTGCGTGGGCCTGTGTTGATCCGGTGACCCTCAGGTCGGCTGGGTGTAGCTGAGTCTTTCAGAGGCTTGGAGAGGACCGGCAGGAGCTGCTGCTGAGAGGTGGGACAAGGAGAGGGGCAGAGGCGGGGCCTCCATAGCTCCTGCCAGCCTCTGAGGAGAGAAGAGGAGATGGACTGGGGGGTAGGGGGGAAATTTGCCCCCCTCCCCGGCTCAAACCAGCCCCACCGGGCAGCTGCAGCGATGGAATAAAGAGCACAGACCCACAGCTGCCTCCGGAGCGAGCTCGGAGCGCGGCCCTGGCAGCCAAGGGCCTCCTGTCAGCTCCCCACCACAATGGAGCCATTGCAACCCCCGGGCTGCTCTCAGGGGCTGGGACAGGGGCCAAAGACCCCAGCCACCAAGGCCCTGGGCCTGTCCTCCAGCCTCTGAGCCAGTGGGGAGGACATCCTCTCAGGCCCCATGTTTCTATTTTTGTTCCTTTGTTGTTTCCTCTGCTCCTTTTTTCTGCTGAGCCCAGGCCTCCAAGAGGTGGGATGGAAGGACAGAAAGGCAGACCAAACCCTCCTCTGGGAGAGCAGGGAAGTGGGGACTTGCTAGAATCACACACACCCCTCCACGGGCAGAGACGTGGCTACCTGGAGAGGGAGCAGCCAGGTGGTCAGAGGAGAGGACCCCGGGTGTTGGACGGACATCCTTACCCCTTACCTTGGTGTTTGCTACCTGCTGCGGGTGACCCTGCTAGCCCGCTTACCCAGATGATTTAGGGTGCAGACAAGGAGGCGGGGTGACTGCTGAAAAGCCCTGGGAAGACAGACTCCTGTGGCGGAAAAAGCACTGGGCCGCGTGTCCCTACGTCCACGTGGCCGTCGTCCCTGCGCCGCCGCTGGGCGAGTTTGCTCGGCTGTAAACAGGGGCGGGGGCGGGGCGAGGACTCGAGACCGAAGACACGGCCCACCCTCCTCGAGGAACCCTGCAGGGGATCCAGAAGGTCTGAAAGAAGTGTCCCAAGGACAGGAGCAGCCCAGGTTCGCTTCCGCAGCGCCGGAGCGCCGGGCACTGCGCTGAGTCAGCGCGCGGGTGGGAGGTCCCACCTGTATGAGACGCCCAGTGCGCACCCACGTTCTCGGTCCCACCGCCCAAACACCCTCGCCCGAGGCCCCCACCGCTGGCTGCGGCCACTCCCCCTCCCCTTGGCTTCCAGGACAGGGCGCAGGACGAGTGGGGTCTTCTGCGGAGGGCGCGGCTTGAGGACCTGACCCTGGCATTTCGGAGGGAGGGCGCTCTCCATCCTCGGCCTCTCGGCGCCGCTTTTACCCTGCCAGTGGCTTCCCCCGGTCCCTGTCGCCGGTGATGGGGACAGACCTGGGCAGCAGGCGCGCGCCCTGGATGTGCTGTGGACCCATTGTGGGGCGCAGGTCATGGGCTGCTCACCGGGGCACGACCTGGTGCCCGGGACTGACGCTGGTGGAGTCGCCTCCGCTTGGCCCTCCCTGGCTCCTCCGCCCCGCCGCCGCCTCCCTTACCTCCCCGTCTTAGGAGCTTGGGCCCCAAGGTTCAAGAAGTCTAGAGTCCGGAGAAATACACTGTGTAAATATATTGACTTTATTTGTCTCCACTCGGGAGCCTCACAGACATATCCAAGTAAAAAGATCGTTAAATAAACGCCTTCAGCAATTGCACTGCAAAAATAAATATCAATCCTCTGGCCGCGGCAGCAGCCGCACTGCGCCCCAGGTCCCATCCGCTCGTTTAACGATTATAAAAGTGTTCAGCGAGAGTGTGTCGGGGTGAGTGTGACGGGCGTGCGCTGGGGGGCACGGTGGAGCGGTGTGCAAAATCGGAATTGCAAACCATCAGAGGCTACTGGGCGTGGAGCGGCGACCCTGGCGACACCGGGCCGCCTCAGCACGGGCCGCCTCCCGCACACTCACCGCAGAGTTCGTACTGGGAAGAGTTAAAAAATAAACATTTACAAGGGTAAAGAAAGCGGCTCCCTCCCCGGCATTCCCGAGCGCGTTGCGCGCCGCGCCGAGCGCCGCCCAGGGGTCCCCGGGCGCGGGTCTCCGGGTGCGCCCGCCGGTCCCTGGGCGGCCGCGGAGGCGCGCGTCCCCGGCGGTGGCGCCGCTCACAGGGCCGAGTCCGAGTCGCTGGAGTCCAGGCTGTTCCTCAGTTTGCAGCTGCTGAGCTGCTCCCTCTGCAGCGACAGGCTCTGCGTGCTGCGGCGCAGGCACTCCAGGCTCTGCAGGAACGACTTCTTCGCCTTCTCCTCCTCCATGGGGGACACCCCCTCCTCCTCCACCTCCTGGATCTCGTCGAAGGTCACCGGCTGCGTCTTGAAGCGGGACTGGCGCGGCCGCCGCAGCCGGCCCTTGCCCTTGGTCAGCTTGGTGGGCCGCACGGGCTGCGGGAACTCGTCGGCCAGGCACACGAAGTGCGGCATCACCGCCTGGTAGCTGGAGCAGACGCCGGCGAGCTCGCCGGGCTTGGCGGCCGCCATGGCGTCCCCGGCGTCCGCG